CTTGCTGTACAGGAAGGGCGGGTTGGAAAGATAGTTTGGAATGATTGGCAGCTCTGGTTCCTTCACCTCAGGCATGTCTTCCTCTTCCACTGGAGAAAGGGCGATAAACATGAATGTGACTGCGTAAGTACATTAGTCAAGTCAAGTATATTTATGTAGCGGTTTTCACAATATAGATTGAATCAAAGCAGCTTCACAGTATCAATCAAAACATAACGACAATGTTCGTTTCTTAGTGAAAAAACATCCATGTTTCAATAGTTTTACTGACTGGTTAATTAATTTGTATATTAAAGGGCAATATGAATGTACACGGAAGGTTATCTGATGTCATGTTTATATTTTAGTATTTTTAAGGAAAAAAAACAAAACTGAATATACTCAATTATTAAAATAAATTAATAAGTAAATTATACTATAATGGCCGTTGATCGACAAATTGCTGATATTAATATTTTGTCTAAATAGCTGAATTAAAACAATCAAAACTAGTTGTAAAAGTGAATGTACTGGATGAACATTTTTTATTCTTTTTGAGATTTCCTAAAGATTACATTTAATGATGTTTTTAAAGATTAAATTAATTTAAGCAAGCTTTTTTAAAAAAAGTAAAAGGAATAAGGGTGATTTTCTATTTTAATATATATTTTAGGAGTTGATTATATAGAAAAATAGGGATGCAAAAAATAAAATAGATTAACTCTTTAATTTTATATTTTAAATCATAAAAAATAAAACACTGAAAAACTAAAATAAATTGTTTTTAATATAATATAATATAATATAATATAATATAATATAATATAATATAATATAATATAATATAGTCAACATTTGAAGTGGATCAAAACCTTTCACCAAAGTTATACATGAACAATACCCGTTCTTGTCTTAGGACAACTTTGGTGAACTTTTTTGATCCACTTCAAATGTTGACTATTATATACATATATATTAGATTTATATTTATAATCTAATCTAATCATAATATTAAAAAATAAATAATATTGAAAAATAAAAACTAAGATCAATCATTTTAAATGCTACAAGTGAATTTAGGCATCACAAATTTATATGTAATATAATAATAATTAAATGAAAAAATAAAAATGATACAAAATTCATTTTGAGATTTGCTAAATATTACATTTAATGTTGTAATTAAATTATTTGTGTTTTTAAATATTAACTTTAAGTAAGCGTTATATGATGGCAAATGTAATGTAAATGTAGAAATAGGGAAAATTAGAAAAATCAATGATCCAACATTGACAGATACATAATAATATTACTTATAAATAATAATAACAACAATACTATAATATTATGCATCATGTTCAAGTTCATTAAATTAAAGAAAATATTTTTTTCTTTAAAATATTTAATTGCTTTAATATTTAATTAAAAAATGACAATTTATCATTTATTTAATTAACTCTAATGCAAAGATATGAATTCATATTAATTATATCATATGAATTCACAAATTAAAATTACTTGCATTTGTATCAGTATTTACATGCAATACATGACTTGTATTTATACATGCTTGCTACAATATCCATCCACACGCCTTCTAGTGTTCATATTCAGTAAATGTCTAAATGTCTTTGTATGACGCCTTTGGCAGTATCCGAGCATGTAATGCATCATGTCCTTTGTTTCTAAAAAGCATACCTCCAAGCAGTCTTCTGATTTCAGGTTTGGAAGTGAGTTGAACAGCTAACTCCTCTTTCGCTGTTAGAATGTCTTTATCGGCTCCGGCGTTCAACAGATAGGCCACTATCTGTTTGTGGTTTCTTTTACAGGCCCAATGCAAACATGTCCTGGATTAACAGGGGACATCAGATTATCAACAACATCAGTCAAATGAGTTTTCATGCATTCAGGCATGGCTAAAACAAAGCAGTCAAGACCTGGCATGAACGTCAGAACAAATCTAACACTTAAAGTCAGTTGATCAACTAATATCAGCAGTGAGAAAACAGAGAGCTTCACATGCTCCTAAACACAAGCTCTCTTATTAAGCATTTCAGGAATCCTCCCAAGCGACATGACTTGAAAGGTAAGGGCTATATCTATAGCAATCAGAAACCATTACATTTTCATCAATCCTGCTCTAAACGTTATATAGAGCTTTTCACATTACTTCATGACTAGGGTTGGGTATCGAGTATCGATTGGAACCGAGACTAACTTTTCGTTTTTCCCGAAATCGTTCAAAAGTTAAAATTTCGATTCCTAGTTTCGATATTCACAGTCCGCTGAGCGGAAGAAGAAACCGCTGAACAACACCAATGAAGAAGCGTCTACCAGAAGTGTTGGCATAACCACACGAGTCGAACATGAGTACCTTACGTCGGCGATCCAAAGTGTGGCTTCACTTTTCTAAAAATAACGAAATCTTGGCAAAATGCAAAATTTGTGACAAAAGGAGTATTTTTACAGAAGGAGTATTTCCTTCAGAAAGGCCGTTGGTTAGCAAGGTTAGCTAAACTTTTTTGACCCTGCCTCTTAAAAGAATCGGAATCGAGAATCGTTAGGAACCGGAATCGAAACAAGGAATCGGAATCGGAATCAGAATCGTTCAAATTCAAACGATTTCCCCAAACCTTTTCATGACCCAGGGTTAATGCGTTGAGCAAACTCTGGCTTTTCGGGCTCAAGAAGTTGGGTTGGTATTTAGCGGTGTTCATCGCGATAGCAACTTCGCTACACGGCTAACTGGAGCAGGTTTGATTTTGGGTTAAAGATCGCACACCCAAACTGGACCAATCAGCTGTGAGGAAAGTGACATGCATCTATCTGATGCATTTAAGCTGCAATCCCTGCATCTCTCACTCCATATCACAGCAGATTATGGGTATGTTTACATGACAATGATGTACTAAATAAGGACATTTTTCCTTTGTGTTTTTGAAAGGTTTCGCGTACAGACGACAACGTTGTCATAACGCTCCCTGTTGAAAACGACTAAAAACGCTGTATTATTTGTCACTTTGTAAAGAAACGCACCTGTAGACTGAACATGTAATACTCATAGGCATGACATCACCGTTTTCACAAAGTCGCGTTTTTGTAGTTTACAACGAGACGAAAACGTGATTGTTTTCAAAAATGTGTTGAATCCCGTTTTCAGGCCCCAAAAACATCATTGTCGTGTATATGAATGCCCAAAACACATAAAAAGATTTACACTTTTAGTTGAAAATTATGTGTAAACAGCCCCTAAACTGATAGATTATACAATTATATTATTAAATAATTATATTTGAGACAAAAATACTTTTCTTTTGCTGATAATTATTATTTTTAGTATGGATTTTAATGATGTATAATTCATATACTATAATTACACAATTGTTATGAATTGGTGATTAACATTATAAAATAATATAAGTTTGCATTTGAGTAAAAATATAGAAATACATGCTTAAATAAAGTTTTTAAACACATCATTCTTACACGTTTTCTTTCAAGCTCTTTGGGAACATATCTAGATTATTATTTAAATTGAGTAGCATTCTGAATTTTTCGCAGAAGCAGCAGTGTTTATTCCTGAGGGCATTTAAGTCGTGATATTTTTCATAACCATCTCATGTTCGACTCTCTCGCTAGAACAGGGAATCAAACTGACGCTCTCCCGTGTTCTGTGTGAACGAGTGTTTGCAAGTTAATCGCTCACTAACTCTCAGTCAAATTAATAAATCAATTGACCAAGTTGAATTTGTATGGTTTTGTTGACTCTGAACCTCTCGGTTGATTAACCCTTACCCTTACTCGAGTTTACGCAGGTTCCAAAGCCATGTAGTAAGATCAGTCAAACCCAGAGGAAACATAATTACATACATTATATAGAAATTCATTCAAAAACCTTTTGAATGCACATCTACGTTATGAGAATAAAATAAGAAAAAATATAATTAGACAAAAATGCCCCCCAGTGTTTGCACTTTTCAATGAAATGTCTTACTTGCGGTCTCTGCATTTTAATTAAACTGAAAATATTTTAACATTTCCATAGTGGATTTTTCACAATCTCAAGTGTGTAAAGCCTGTATAAGGTAATGGTATCCCATAAATCTGAAACTGGTGTCCTAGATCAATCTTTTAGATACCATGGACCCCCAAATATGATCATATTTGACCCCCTTCCTAAAATGTTAAAGTTAGCATGAAATTAAAATGGACAAGTCATGTTTGTTTGTTTTTTAATAGAAAATTGCAGTGATAAATGATTTATCTGTGAACATTAACCATTGTTTTAATTTCAACTCAATTTCCTGGCCCCTCCTCTCTAACCTATCCACTATCAGGTAAGTTAACGTTATCAATTGTGACCAGGAGCTCTCTTATCTTAAGAAGAGATGTGAACTGCACTCGAATGAAAGGGTAATATAACTGTACACTAGTAAGTGAATAAAATAAGTGGTTTAGCCGGAGTCGGATCAGTGTTTATATACGCACCATCCGTTGATCTCATTCTGAGAGTTGACGTTGACTCCGCTCTCCACTAAAGTCTTCACCTCATCGATGTCTCCGATGGCACTGGCCTCTCTCAGACGCTCCTGCAGCTCTTTATCCAGCGATGTCGTTGACATTATTCAAGTCTTTATGGAAATAGAAGCTTCATACGAACTGACACTGTGCTTTTGAGGCAGGAGACAAAAATAGACACTCAACTTGCTCCGCCGTGGCTTAAACTGTTGCCTGTGCCGGAGGATTTTCGACAGAGAAGCGGAAGGAGTGTGTTTGAAGTCTTTAGAATGAAATCAGATTAAAACGATACAGTATAATAAATCGGGTTGTGTTTAAATAATCTTTTGCCGACTACTGCGATCCACTCATATCCGCTGCACCTCCCATGTTGGGGGCAATTTTCAGTGTAACACCTTAAGATCACGATCTTTGGTTCCGACTTAGAATCGCCAGAAAACCGTTCCAAAATCAAGAGTCGGAGGAAATCAAACATCTATAATCAATAAACAGACTCACAACAGTGCACATTAACAGACTGATAATCTTTATTGGTCAAGGATCTTCAATCGCATAAAAGAAGAGCAGCAATTAACTGTATAATGTTAGTGTTAAGAAAATTCAAACAAATATTCTGCCTTGAAATGTGAGAGTTCACACATTTATTTTAAGTGTATACATATTCAACATGTATACAGGTACATTTATATTACCCCCAAAAAATTATTAAAATAATGCATACATTTATGCATTTGGCATAAATGCATATTCAAAGCAACAATTTTATAGATTTAGATAAACTTGCTTTTGAAGCATGGTGGTTTGGTTGAGCTGGATTTCACTCACACTCTCTCTCTCGCTCGCTCGCACACACACACACACACACACACACACACACACACACACACACACACACACACACACACACTAAGCAGTTACTATGGTTAGCATGGCTTTTTTTTTTTTTTGTAGTAGGCTATAATATGGTGGTAAATAACAACAACACATATAAAATAACAACACCTATAATCCAGATAACCAAGAATGACAATGTCATTCAGAGTAACTATGATCATGTCCTGCAATAAAACCCCAGGCACTTTAAACTTTACTTTCCCTGGCATCCGTGTAGTGAAAATCATTCTGGAATGAAGTATGTTGTATTATATTATTCTGCATTTCACACATCATTTTAAACATATTTGTAAAAAGTTTTGGGGCGGAAAACCCCACATTAATACATCCTGCAAAAACACATTTTTGCCAAAAAGATAGTGATGACAAATTTCAGCAAAGCCTTTATACTATTCAGTATCTTTGAACCATTAAAACACTGCAGAGTCCACACATAATCAAATGCAGTGCGATGAAATTGAATTAAATCAAACCACACTGTCCTTGAGAAACAGTAAGCACTGGTTGTTGGCAGGCATATCAACCTAGAAAATCAAAACAAAAACAGATGCATTTACAAGCCTACAATGTCCCAAGGTGGTGAATCATCACATAATCAAGCCAATTATATTCAAAAGCAAGAAAGAGTCAGATTAATTTGCAGTGGATCATGGTCAAATAATAGATTATAGCTTCTAAGAAAAACCTTTACAACAAGAATTGTAATGAACCGAAATAGGCAAGGGAGAATTGACATTGCATCTTAAACAATAATTGTAACTATATATAAAAACACCAAATGAATTAAGCAATTCATTTTGGTAATGAACCTCTTACAATTTCCTCCAATCGCAGTCCATTTTCTTGGCCAAGCTTTTTCAGAAATGATACATCCCTTAGACCCCACTCTGGATTTCTGTAAAACAACATTGGTACAGAAAAAACATGAAATGATCAACTTTTGCCGAGTAATAATTTTTACACTGCGGTGTTTTTGTCTTGTATTCCAGTACAAATATCAAAAACATTCTTAAATCAAAATACATTTACTTGAGAAGCAACATGACTGTTATGTCTATTAGAGTGTTGTTTTCTAAAAAATCTAATACAATTAAATGAGTTTGTCCTAACAACAGAAATCATGAGTAAGTGCAGAGGCGTTGTGTGAATATCTAGACTGTATGTGAGCATATATTTATTCATCTTACTTCAGTCACTTTCACAAAACAGATTCAGCATTCCTCAAAAATGATTAAAAAACAGTGAAATGCAAACTCAGTTTACTACATAATCCTGCAATAAGTAAATATGTTAACTTACACAAATATAGTCTTATTTTATAAGACAATGTTTTTGCTACTGACCTTCAGATTCAATCAAAGATTCAATCAAAAATGACTTTAGAAAAACATCACATTTGTGTTTCATTTTTTGGTTTTTCCAATTGTTCTGTGATTCAGAATGGCAGCACAGCTGAAAGGTTTGTTTGAGCGGATCTACTGTACAGGCATGAATTTGCATTTCCTTCAGCCTGAGGCTTATTCATTTCACTTTTGATGTGAAAGGGCCTTTACATTTGCATAAAAATATAACTTTTTTGATACTAAAAACAAACAAGCAAGCCCAGTCCATGAGAAAAAAATACCGCATTACTTTCCATAACAAGTACCACAATTAATGACTTTTTAGACTTTTAACTTCTTACTTTTTATAAGTTTTTTTTTTATATATATCTGCAAGCATTTCTTTTCACACCAGTGATATAAACTTTATTGAGGATCCAAACCACTTTGCCAGTAATTTCCTTTACCACTAACCTGTATCTCAAGCTCTGGTCAAAGTCAACATTGCTCTGAGGAGTAATAGATCCTTTGAAAGCATAAGGCTGCAAAACAAGATCAGATGCAAGATGTTAAAAGCCAATAAATGTAACCAAATGCATATTAATTCAAGGTGCTTGAGCTTATTATGCAACAAATACCCCGTAAGTCAGAAGCAATCCTTGGCGCTTTAGTATTTTTCCAACAGCATTAAACAAACCCTAAAAAGCATAAGAATATTCAATGATTTTATATGCAGACATTCAACACATACAGAGGAAGAGAAATAAAAGCAAGCAAGCAAGCATGATACCATTGTGCAGGCCAGAGGTGAGATGTGCATCATGTTGATGTTCACGACAAGGTCACATGACTCCTCTTGAAATCCACCCCAGTTCTCCCAACTCTGAGACACATCAAGATAGATGGGTGGCTTTACATTCTCCAGCCTATGATACTGTCTATATGCTTCAATGCTGCAAAAAAAAAAATAAAAAATAAAAAAATAAAAAAAATCACAATATAGTACATAAAGGCCCAGTTTCACAGACAGGGCTGAGATTAAGGCCATTTAAGGAAAAAATATTTTAAGAGATGTCAGTGCAAGTTGCTTTCAGTCAAAACATCTCAAACTTGTATACTAAACATGTACATGACTAGCCTTCAGCCTTGCCTGTGAAACCGGAGTTACATGTTGGTATTGAGTAGCAAGAAACATTTTATGGTATCAAGCCTAATCTAAAGAAAAATCAAGAGAGAACTTTGAACTAACATAGAATTAACACAGCTGTGTCACAACATTCAACCCGAAAATTGTCATATAACCATTGCAATAACTGAGAGTCTGAAGCTATTCAGTTAAGGTAAAAAAAACTGCATAGTGCTGCTTTAAGGTCCTGACTCTCTATGATCATTAAAAATCCCATGGCACTTCTCGTAAAGAGTAGCGGTGTAACCCCGGCATACTAGCAAAATTCCATCCATTGGCCCTTGCCAATCATGGCCTCCTAATAATCCCCTTCCATTGAATTGGCTCAATCACTCACTCTCCTCTCCACCTATAGCTGGTGTGTGTGGCACCAATAGCTATATCCTGCACACTGGTGGTGATTGAGGTGAGATCCCCTGATTTGATTGTAAAGTGCTTTTTGGGTGCACAGTAGTACAGATAAAGTGCTATATAAATGCCTCATTCACTCATTCATTGTTAAGTAACGCTTATTGTGGATTTTGACATTCTTTCATTCATAAATAAAAACTTTAAGCATTCAAATTAGGCCTATATATGAAGAGTTCAGATGCAAAGGCCTCTAAATGCCATTTGAAATTTTCTTCTTTAATGATGATTTTTATCAAACTTGTATATTTAAGTTCAGTGATTTCACTTAAATGGCAATGATAATTACCTATTAATTGTTATTTAAGTAAAATTACTGAACTTAAATATACAAGTTTGATAAAAATCATCATTAAAGAAGAAAATTTCAAATGGCATTTAGAGGCTTTTGCATCTGAACTCTTCATATATATATATATATATATATATATATATATATATATATATATATATATATAAACACTTTTACTAGAGCACTAAAAGTGACTTAATAGCGCCATCTCGCCATAGATATCTGCACCTGCACTCAGTAACTATCATCAGAAAACGAAAAGATAAAGAATTATGATTATTATTAACTATTTCAATGACGATTCAAAACTATTTCAATGTTTTACGATTTCATAACCTGAATAGGTAAGTATCAACCAGTGCGTGAGAGAATCTTTCAATCTTGTTATTGTTATGCAGAGGTGTTCATGTCTACATCGAATTCAAGATGAAGTTTGATGTTGCGCATATTCACCTCGATATTGACTGAGCTTCGTATTCAGACGGCTGCCATGTAATGTTCGGAAACGCTTTGGCAAAGTGAATGACATGCTGTCCCGTGCCAGAAGAGATTTCCAAAGCATTCAGATGCCTGTCTGATGTCACTCTGCTTTTTAATACAGCAAGGATCGGGTCCTTATTTCTGTCGGCTGCTGCAGCATTCAGCATTTTACACATCCAACGACCAGTTCCTGGAACCAAGAGAAGAAGGGAGCTACGTAAATAAAACCGCAACTGAACTAAGCAATATATCGGTCAGGATCCAATAAGACCTTTAAAAGCTCCAAGGCTCGGTGATTCAAAGCCGTTCCTAAACTGTGCAAATGTGCAGAACAGATTCATGCATCTAAATGACGGCTGCTCACATCAGGTCACATGACGAGGTGCTGTATTTCATAACGGAGGAAAATTGCAAGCTGCGAAAATAATTTAGATAGATCTTTTTATTAATTGTTCTCTATTCACTCCGTATTAGTTATTATTAAAGCACGTTCGACAGTGTAATTCGATTTAAAACGCAGTGTTTTGGATTTCACATCCCACAATGCAACGCGCGTCAACTTCCTCTTTCTTTTAAAAAGTGGCGCACATAAGTCTGTTATCACGACCAATGATTATATGTATTTTATTTGTATTAAAATGAGATGTCATTTTCTTTCAATCATTATAGACTGTTCAGAGGTTTAGAATCGCTGAGTGATAAACTGATAGTCAGCCGAGGATAGATTAAATTGATTAAAGTACTTTACTTTAAATTTAAATTTACTTTATAGGCCTATGCCTGTATAGGGACTATAGTACATGCTTGATCAGCGATATTAAAGTGTACTTTATTTGTCTTACAAGTAAAAATGCATTAGCCTACGAGTGTCTTTGATACAAGAAATCATTGTTTTCAATAACAAATTCACATTAATTAACAAATATTAGCCTACTTAGCTATAGTTTGTACAATATTTAATAGGCTTCTATAATGTATTTCCAAAGTACACTTTTAATGCATTGTTACAATGACCATTTTCACAGTTAAAAATATACCTAAAATATATATTTTAAGTATATAAGCAAATAAATACGCTTTTAAAAATTAAACAGAATTTTCTCTTCAAGTTTATTTTTAGAAAATATATTCTTTAAAAATATACTGTATGCTAGTACAATTATTTTAAAGTGTGATAAAAGCTGTATTGTGAAAATGGGTAAAAGAGTGATGCAAATATACTTTTAATATATTTAAAGATAGTACAAAAATTGTTAGTAGGCCAGCCTATGTTTGCAATGTGCTATTGAAAAAGGATTTATTATTTCAAAAATTATATCAAATAAAATAAAGTATACTTTTTTTCACTAGTGTTACCAATGTAAAAATGACGAACGTGGACAACAAAATTACTTTAAAATGTGGCATAAATCTATTTCCCATGTCTTTATAAATACTTTTTAAGGAGTTGTTCACTTTTTTAAAAAAAAAAACCTTTGCTGATAATTTACTCACCCCCATGTCATCAAAGATGTCCTCGTCTTTCTTTCTTCAGTCGAAAAGAAATGAAGGTTTTTGATGAAAACATTCCAGGATTTTCTCCATATAATGGACTTCATTGGGAACCAAAAGGTTCAAAGTCCAAATGAGAGCTTCAGTGCGGCTTTAAATGACACCAGACGATGAATAAGGGTCTTATCTAGGACCCTTCAAGTCATGACGCGAAAAAAGATTTGTTCATTTTGATGAACAAGTTTGAACAGGAGAGTCACAAACGCTCATCACAGAACAGAGCAAGGCGAGCATTTGTGCTTATAAAACTTAAACATTTTTATTTATTTTTGAAATGGCCACACGTTTCGCTTGATAAAACCCTTATTCATGTTCTGGTGTCGTTTAAAACCCTTTGAAGATGCAAACTCTCATTTGGACCTTGAACCATTTGATTCCCATTGAAGTCTTTTATATGGAGAAAATCCTGGAATGTTTTCATCAAAAACCTTAATATCTTTTTGACTGAAGAAAGAATGACATGGACATCTTGGATGACATGTTTTTTTTGGTTTTTTTTTTAAAGTGAACTACTCCTTTAAAGGGTTAGTTCACCCAAAAATGAAAATTATATGACCCTCATGTTGTCCCAAGCCCGTAAAACCTCCGTTCATTAAACTCATTTGCCCATTAAAGAAATAAAGACATCATCAAAGTATAGACCATTTCAAAAGATGTAAACAACACTGGTCCAGAAGCACTTCCTGTTTCAGTTTTTTAACACTACATAAAAGCTGGGATAAAATACAACCAACAGAACATTTAAAATTGAATCAAAAAGTTAAACAAACATCTTTAAGATGTTTTCTTTACATGTGAAATAAAGAAAACAGTTACAAACTGAAACAGGAAGTGTTTATGGACCAGTGTTGTTTACATCTTTTGAAATGGTCTCATCAGCGGGTTAATGAGAATGTTTTGAAGTAGGCCTATCGAAAATACATTTTGGTCCAAAAAATAACATTAGCATCATGCATATTCTGTACGTAAACTTATGAGCAAAACTGTAAGACATTTAGCAAGGGTGAATAAATGATGATTAATTTTCCCTATGACTTCTTTCTAAAGTCTTCTTACCTCTAGAGCTCTTTCTGTCAGTGCCTGAAAAGAGAAGTAAAAAACATCAACATTACGAAACGTAAACGTGTCTTTATACACTAGGTATACCTCCAGTTTTTAATCCTGCTTTACTTTCTGTTTCCTGACGGGGGCACTGTGTGACCTGTATGTAGTTCACAATCACATCCTTCAACCTTTCAAAGACAAACAATTAGTTCACATCATTAATAAGACAAATCTCACGGTGTATTGTTATTTCCTTTCACAAACGTGAATATTGTATGAAAAATATCCTGGGGATATGTTTTGGCAGGTCAGCAGTTGTAATTTGTCTGGATGTAATTTTCCAGAGTGATTAGTCACTTGAATAAGTCACTATATATGAAGAGTTCAGATGCAAAAGCCTCTAAGTGCCATTTGAAATTTTCTTCTAAAATGATCATTTTTATCAAGCTTGTATATTTAAGTTCAGTAATTTCACTCTTAAATGGCAATGAAGATTACAATTGTCATTTAAGTGAAATTACTGAACTTAAATATACAAACTTGATAAAAATGACCATTCTAGAAGAAAATTTCAAATGGCATTTAGAGGCTTTTGCATCTGAACTCTTCATATATATAATGCTGCATTCCAGGAAACTTGGAAGCCTTCCACCTTCTAATTGAAAATAACTAATCATGCTTACCGAAGTTTTGACCATCAGTTTGTGCAGATTGATCAACCCCAATTTTCAGCATTTGATATTATTTCCAATTAGACGGTGACTAACATGACCTTCAGTAGTTATTTAAGGTAACAATTTATTTTGATAGTCCACTTTAGACATTCTACTACTAACTATAACTTTGGAACATGTCAATTACCAGTCATTATTATATTTGACTTTCTGCTTAAAGTTTAACCTTATTTTTAAGTGAGAATTCAGAGTTCCAAGCCTATAGAACTCTTTGAGGTTGGACATCAGTCTGGAATGCAACTACAGCAAAGAACACCTGACTGAAAATGTTAGAGATGTAATTTTATAAATACTATGTAATGGAAATATACAGTACTTGCCGTAAACAATTCTTGGGCCCGAAGCATAGAAAAAGTGTTTTTTTTTTTCTCCCTTGATAGAAATTGCATTTTTAAAAGTCAAGTTTTCCCACCAGGAATCATGTTTTTACCCCTCGGTAGAAACTGTAATTGCTTTGGCTATCCATTCCAGGCTGGCCTGGGGCTTGCAAAAGGTCCATTTATCCCCCATTGTCAGCGGCCCTGGCACTTTATAACACAATATAAGAAAATAATAATTACATTTTTGTTCTGCCAACATGACAGCCAACGTCATGAATTTTCCGCTCTAAATGACAAGACTTGCAACCTATTTTTCAACCCATGTTGATTAAACATTATGGTGGTAATACATTCTTAAAGTTAATTCCTGCTGACAAACCCATCTTAAAATGTTTTGCTCGTTTGTCTGGTATGTTTGGCTGGTTTTAGCTGGGTTTTTGTCACTCTCTGTTGGTCAGGGCTGCTGGGAGACCATCTTAAACCAGCAACAAAACCTGCAAACCAGATTAGGCTGGTTCAAGCTGTTTCAATTGTTGAGGACATTTCGTCAGAAAAGCTTTTATAACTTATTATGACACATTCTGACACACAAACGTTTATTATTCAATAAACATGCGCTGATATAGATGCTACCGATGATTTGAAACAAAATATAATATATTTTAACTTCCAATAGATCAGGTTTCGAACACCGACTGTTTATTTCTTCTTGACTAAATCCGTCACAGTTTTGATGTCGGCGCTCGCTCGCGCTCTCCTGTCAGTCACTGCCGCTGCAGCATAATCCTCCTCTACACACTCCATCACACACACACACCGACATAAACTGACCAGAGCTACGAGTAGGCTATATTATTTACACACTGCGTGTCCAAAAGGGCACAGCTGCAGGCACAGCAAAACATTTGCAGGAATGATACTGGACAACTGCCAGACACCAAAATCTTGGTGCATAGCCTGCACATGGAGAAAAACCGACGCTAATAGGTGGTCTGCCCCGGGGAGCCTTCAGCAAACAGCCCGATGGACGAGGACACACCGTGCTGTTTACACTGAAACGCGCTAAACGCAGAACAACAGACGAGCGGAAATGTTTCCCCGCATCTGTGTCTTAATCCGACGCATCTGAAGTGAGGCAGAGAGAGAGAGATGACGCTGTGTTTCATGATGCATCGGAGCACCGTCATGCCTAATTTTCTTTAATGAAGCGATTTTGTCTTTATTTACTGTACATTCGCGGTGTCCTGCAGTAAGTCTAAAGCCTTACGAGGAGAATGAAAGCGTCGGTATTTGTCGTGGTCATGTCCTCGGTTTTATTTAATCCCAGTTTTGCCTTCAGTTCGCATTTCGATCCAGGTGAGTGAAAACATGACACATTCTGACAGCAAACGTTTATTATTCATTAAAAATGCACTGATAGGCTACCTATCCTACCGATGATGTGAAACAATATAGACTTTTTAAATTTGTCTTGAGGAATTTGCCACATACATGTTTACCATGCTTACCAGGGTAAAACAAAGTAAATAGCCTATGATAAAGGCCTAAACATATTTATTCAATGTATTCATGAAATTGCTTCATATTTTTGTTTTTCCTTGTATTAATGCGTTTGAGCTGGTTTCTAATTAATAATTTCATTTTGATGCAGATGATATGTATTACAACATGTGTTATTGTGAATAATGCATTTATCAAAAGGCAACCTGCACATGCACATGCATGCATTCTGCACTAGAGAGATAGTGTGTTTTGCACATTTGCAATCGGACAAAGCTGACTTGGCATTCGTCAGCCAGAACTGTTATGTTCCTCTTCTTGTGTGTCCTGTGTTCCCAAGTCAGTTCCGTTGCGTAACGTCTGTGTGTTTGACATATCTGAGCACTGCTGTTTACTTCCTCGAGAAGTCAGCAGCCCGTGGTGTCTCAGACGCTGAGGGTTTGTGGTTGAAGGCCGACCAGTTCCACTGAGATTCACGTGCACAACCCCCCCTTTTTGTGATGTCTGCTTCAACGTAATGAGGAATCAAGCAGCTTAAAGCTCGCTCTGCATGCATGGCCGGTGAGAGAGACCCAGTGGGGCGACTTGGCTGAATGTCTGCAGTCGGATCACACCGTTCATTACGTGCTACGTATACAGCGTGTGATGCACCTGCGGGTGCGCTGAGACCATAGAAACAGCAGAGCAGCGTGAATTAGGGTGACATAGGTGAGGAGAGAAATATAGTGCCCTAAACGAAGCCAAAAGTGTCCCTGGCCCAAGTGACGTGCAGCATACTAATGAATCTGGGGTGCAGAGGGAGTCAGCTTGCTTCTATATCGCGCTTGGTTTTCACTGTCTGCGATTGGCACTTTGCATGCAGACCAGCGTTTGAATGGCTCTCTGATTGCGATGTTGTAACAAACTATTATGCAATGTTGTTATTAGATCGGGCGATATGAGGGCCACCACGGATGGACACTCCCAAGAAATTAAAAGTCTGAAAAGACGCCTTGACCGGCGCACAGTCCTGTGCTTGATTCAATTGCAGTTTTGCATTCCTGTTTTCCGAGGGAACTTCCACTAACCATAACAGAATTTCCCGAATCTCTCTTGGGCGCTTAATGAAAGTAAAACAGAACTAAAACAGAACTAAGCGAGGATATGAGTTTCCATATATGATGTTTTATTAACAAAGTTCGGGAGAAGCAATTATCCAATTATCATGGGAGGAGCTCATCCAGTCAACTCAATAAGCATCAGGACTCAGGAGGTATTAAGACAGCAGATTTACCGCTGTTACCGTGAGTTTTCCAGCAACCTTCCACCACCCCATCTCCTCACTTACTATTCCTATCCCAACCTGGGATGGGGGGTTTGGGCCTCTCCTCGGACAGCACGCCAAATACGCATATCATTTACCTTTTGACCATGCTTCAATATCTGACGCTTTAGGCGCCCTTTAGCGTCAGTCAGATGACACCCTAGGATTGTGTGTAACCCCACCCCCACCCCAGACCTAAACCTAACCGCGTCATCTAACTGACACTTTCCTTTAGCGTCAGTTAGATGAGCTAAAGGGCGCCTAAAGCGTCAAATATTGAAGCATGGTCAAAGGTGACGCCTTTGCATTTACTCTATTCAATTATATGTAAGTGTGAACTCTTGAATTGATTTACAACAGGTTTGAGATGATAGCAGTGGAGGAAGTCCATTAGGCAAAGGTTGGAATACACCTCCTGAATTTTGGCCAGATTTGGCCCCTGATTTACAGTCTGGACAAGACGACATCAGTTGCTGAAAGTCAGAGCCAGTCTACAGATCTGAGTTAACAGATTTCACAGAACATCCTATTCATCCTGGGCACGGACTATCACAGACTTCAGGCTATGATTCCATCCTGTCGGAGGATTTAAAACATGTTAGATGTTTTGAGCCCACTTTAAAACACATTCCCCCGGTTCCACAGACAAGGCTTTAGCTTGTTTCAGACTAAAATGGCTAGCAGCCATATCACCCTGTAGCCCAAGACTGGTTGCCCACTGAAGTTAAGCAGGGCTGAGCCTGGTTAGTACCTGGATGGGAGACCTTCTGAGAAAACCAGGTTGCTGCTGGAAGAGTTGTTAGTGAGGCCAGCAGGGGGTGCTCACCCTATGCTCTGTGTGGGTCCTAACGCCCCAGTAAAGTGATGGGGACACCGTACTGTCAAAAGAGCACCATCCTTCGGATGAGACGTTAAACCGAGGCCCTGACTCTGTGGTCACAAAAAATCCCAGGGTGTCTTTCGAAAAAGTAGGGGTGTAACCCCGACATCCTGGCCAAATTTGTCCAGTGGCTTCTGTCCATCATGGCCTCCTAATCATCCCCATATATACCAATTGGCTTCATCTCTCTGTCTCCTCTCCACCAGTAAGTTGGTGTGTGGTGGGCGTTCTGGCACAATATGGCTGCCGTCGCATCATCCAGGTGGATGCTGCACATTGGTGGTGGTTGAGGAGATTCCCTCCTCTAAGTGAAGTGCTTTGAGTGTCCAGAAATGTGCTATATAAATGTAATGAATTATTATCATTTTTATTAAAATGCATGTTTGAGGTATTTTAACTGAAAGCAACTTGACAAATCTTAAAATAATTTGTCTCAATTTTGTCTCAAGATGCACCAGTAATGTTAAGGCACGTTTATAAAAGCTACTTAAACAGCAAAATCCTGTCTGTGAAACAAGGCCTTATTGTTTTCATTTGTTTGGCAACGAGGCCTATGTTTCTGCGCGAGTCTGTTGTGCTCAGAATGACTTTATGCAATGGGACCCACAGCCGTGTTTGATGCCCTATTTTTCTTTGTTACCTTTCACAAAGTTGTCAAGTGTATGATGTCTAGCATTTTAAAATCTGCTCAGATTTTCAAAATCGTGTAGTATATTCCAGCCTGAAGGCGGTAAGGATTTCCTTTTGCTTTATGAGGACATATTTAGGGTGACTGTAGGCTGGCTGGGTGATGTACATGCTTTAACAGGCTGGAGTCAGCAGCAATCTGTTACTCTGACTGGCCAAGTAATGGGATTGAGAATCAATGTTTCAGTGGCAGTGGATGGTGTGGCTTGCGATACGACAGGAGACCAATCAGTCTCCCACTCTCAGGATCTTGGACATATGCAAGGACATGGCAAAGTCATCCGGATTATAATGGAACAGGGCAGTTTGTTTCATCGCATTACAGCAGTTTGAAAGGCAAGTGCTGTTTTTAAGGTTAGGACTGTACTAATGTATGGGGTATCGGATAATAACTGGTTCCATCTTTTAAAAAATATCATAACATGTCAGAGCACTCTGGATATATATATAAATAATCAGTACGTAGTGAAAATCATTGTGCTTTGCAGTACCGCACATCTTTTTTACTGCGTTGCCTATAGTCCAATTTACAAAAGAATGAACTGGTTGGAGCGATTGTTGCTGAACTGGTTGCTGGAAAACAGTGGTAAATCCGCCGTCTTATTACCTCCGGTAATAAGTCCTCATGCTTATTGAGTTGACTGATGAGCTCCTCCCATGATAATTGTTGCTTCTCACGAACTTTGTTAATAAAACATCATATATGGAAACTCATATCCTCACTTAGTTCAGAAGAAGATCGACGCCTACTTCAACACGGCCGGTTTAGCCTCGCCCACCGATTCACGCATTACACGCATAGCTAAATAACATAGGCCTACCTCGTGCAACACATGGACTCTGGGTCGAACATGTATGGGCGAATCATTCCGGTTGCCATTTTACAACATTGGACATTTTCAAAACAATTTCCCCCCAGGTGCACCAACAAGTGAGTTGAAACTCATTATAAAATGCAACAATGGGCGTTTACTTCCGAGACACCCATAAAAACCAAGCGTTTTTCAGCTAGGCTCAAAACTAGGGTAGAAAATAGCCTATTACTTATTCATTTTGATGTTTGTGAATGTAAAAAACAAGCGAACGTCATAAGTTGACCTCAGACAACAATATAATAAAAATTAAAAAAGCCAGTTCATGACCCCTTTAAATTCAAATAATTTTTCTAAAAATTTACTGTATTTTTGATCAAATAAAGTTAGCCTTGGTGAGCATAAGCAACTTTCAAAAATATTCCAAAAAATCTTACTGAACCCAAACTTTTGAATAGTAGTGTAAAATCAGTTTAATTGCATGTAATTCAAACTAGAATTAGCTAAAGATAGTCACAACTGAGTTTGTTAAAATAAATAGTGTTTAGAACAAAAAACAACCAAATCACTTTAACGTAGAGCCAGAATTGTTATGTGGAATCTGAACCAGAATCTTTACATTGCTCTCACAGTTCCATCCCTATGTTTAGGGTTTATGGAAGGAACCACATCAAAGCATTCAAAGTTAGTCTGTTGGGGCAAGACTTCTGGCTTTTGTCAGAATTTGTAACCATGCTGCATTCTGATGGTTATTTACAATGCTGGGTTCTCAAAGCCAGGCTCTATTCAAGCATCTTATAAAGCCACATGCACGGTGGATGTGGTTGGCCTAGAACTGTCTGTGAACCGGGCTTTACTGCTCCACGTTCACAACAACAGAATCCTCAGACACTTTTAGAGGACGATTGCTCAGTACTTCAAAGCCTGCCTGTGGTTGTGACTGATTACTCCAGTTGACTCTAAGTTTATGAGGATTTTGTTTTATCCCAGACTCAAATTTCTCAGGATTTTCTGTTTTAGATGACAAACAAATAAAGACTTGAATGGCTATGTGTAGGCTATGAAAATGTAACTTGTGTGAAGTACAAGATGAAGGTCGTAACACAGAAATATGTGCAGTGAATACACTGAATTTTGCTGCTTGTTCAAATTGCTTAATTAAAACGAGCTTTTA